ACTAACTATATGCCTAGGTACTATGCTAGTAATATCTCATTATCTATTCAGATTTATGCAAACATCACACACTATGGGATGTCATAGTCATCTATGTGACATTCCACTAACTATATGCCTAGGTACAATGCTAGTAATATCTCATTACCTATTTAGATTTATGCAAACATCACACACTATGGGATTTCATAGACATCTATATGACATTCTACTCGCTATATGCCTAGGTACAGTGCTAGTAATATCACATTACCTATTCAGATTTATGCAAACATCACACACTATGGGATGTCATAGATATCTATGTGACATTCCACTACCTATATGCCTAGGTACAGTGCTAGTAATATCTCATTATCTATTCAGATTTATGCAAACGTCCTACACTATCTTACACTACACTATGTCCGTAACATTTTGAGATAGCAAATCAAATTTACGATCCATTACTAACAAACAAGTCAATCTCAATGTTAGTTAACATTCAGTAATACTATGGTAAGCTATATTGTAAAAAAAACAAGAAAAGTGGCAGGGCATCTATAGTTTTACTATGTTTTCACTATCTTACCTATAGGTTCCACTTCAAAATCAATAGAGACAGTACCAGCGATAGCATATGCAATAACTAACAGAGGAGATGCCAAGTAATTGGCCCTCGTCAGAGGATGAATACGCCCCTCAAAATTACGATTACCGCTTAGCACACCACAGGTCACCAAATCACCCTACAAAATTAAAAGTACATAAACTGTTGATAGAGACATTTGACAATTAAAATCACTTGTTTATACTATTTTCTGTACTATTTAAATCATGATCATGTGATGTTCCTTGCCGCAAAGAGTTGTTTATGTTTCGTGATCATCAACTGACCATTATTCACAGAGATAAGAACACCATTTAAATGGTTTGATGACTGTCACAAATTGGTGAATTTTGAATAATCAAATTGTCAGTGCGATACATGTAGCTTAAAGCGCGGTAGTCGTCGCGCTACGCATGTGCCACATTTGTGTTGATAAACATTGATTTTCCCACAATCCAATGCGATCTTCAAATGGAAATCACAAGTATGAGGTTTGACCTTGGCACGACTTGCACTGATTACCGCCGGCGACTCCTTCCAATAACATAAAAATTACTTAAAGCTTGGAAACGTGTCAGTTCGTACTCGTTGATCTGCGCAACAGTCAAAGTCGCCATCTTTGTTTATACTAGTCCCATATATCTTGCACATGCAGTGACTACCGCGCTTTAATTTGTAGTCAGTTTTTCACATATTTAGAGATGTCAGTGCATTATACATGTTTATCATGCCATTATAGATTATGACAACCACAGACATTCTAGTACATCCATTGGGCAATTCCAAACAGTTTTGATACCAATGTGCAGTGTACAGTCATCTGATTTCAAGTTGTTCAGTACTGGTAATGGATAAAAGACATTTAGTAATTCTATCTAATGACACTTTTCTAGTTGCCATGCATTTTTAATTAAGTAACGTATTTTTAATTATGTAAAAGGTATAAATTAGTCTTACTTTTTCTATTGCGTCTGCAACAACTTCTGGTAGGGGTCCACTATTACCAATACAGGTCATACAACCATAACCAACAATATCAAAACTATGAAAATAAATGCAAATGAGGTTTAACAATTCAAGGAAAGTATGTAAATGAGGTTTAACATACAAAGATGGAATGCAAATGAGGTTTAACATACAGATGGTATGCAAATTAGGTTTAACATACAAAGATGATATGCAAATAAGGTTTAACATACAAAGATGGAATGCAAATGAGGTTTAACATACAGATGGTATGCAAATGTGGTTTAACATACAAAGATGGAATGCAAGTGAGGTTTAACATACAGATGGTATGAAAATGAGGTTTAACATACAAAGATGGAATTGCAAATGAGGTTTAACATACAAAGATGGAATGCAAAAGAAGTTTAACATACAGATGGGATGAAAATGAGGTTTAACATACAGATGGTATGCAAATGAGGTTTAACATACAGATGGTATGAAAATGAAGTTTAACATACAAAGATGGTATGCAAATCAGGTTTAACATACAGATGGTATGAAAATGAGGTTTAACATACAAAGATGGTATGCAAATCAGGTTTAACATACAGATGGTATGAAAATGAGGTTTTGAGGGTTATTACAAAATAAACATTTGATTTCACAAAATTGAGTACAAACTAAGTGTTGCAATATCAACATATCTAAAGGTCAAGATTCAAACAGTGGAGGCAATATATTTGCAGAGCTATGACTACATTTTTCAACATACAGACAGAAAATTTATCAATTTCAAAAACACTGCACCCTCAAACATGCAATATTCAACTGAAAACAATCTGAGACCCCTTTAACCTTTTCACCACCCTGTTTTCATCACAAATTCACAGTTTTGTTTACAGTCTGTATTTTTCTTCACAAGATTGAGAAAAAAAAAGCCAAATTTTTTAGATAAATTGACCCAAATCTTGTCAGTTGGTTCAAAAATTGAGGGTTCATTTCCAGAAATATTGAAGAAATACAAGAAAACAAGCAGCCTATTGGCTGAGATAGCTCCACTTTTAGCAATGCACATTTCAAAGAACTAAAGATATCATTAGAAAATGAACAATATGTATAGTATCGGACTTGCTGTTTTCACCAAAAATTACATAAATATTTATCAAAATTATAGAATTGAAGATATGATCATGAAATAAACAAATCTAAGAGAAGTCTACCCAAAGTACATGTACACCAAGTATCAAAGCATTCAGGCCTTTAGTTTTCAAGAAGATGACGAAAAAGTAAAAATTTGACACTGACGGCAACCACTGGATAAGCTCATATGAAAAGAAATTAGTACAGCTCTTACCCAGACAACGACTTACCCTAGTTTTGTTAAGTATGATGAAACACCACTTTCTTGTAAATAATAAGTGACAACACCACTACCTGGGGACAGACTTGTTTTTACATAGGATGGAACTGATAAACCAGCTTCCACTGCTTTCTTTGCCAGTATCCCTAATAAGGCAATAATTATGCAAATATACTCATTAATATGCAAGAACATATTGACATATCTCTAACAGTGTATGCATGGTCCTGATGTTAAGATTTTATTCAGAATCTTGTCCAGTTAGTGAGCTTTGACCTCCATACTGAGTCTTTGTCTAACTCTGCCATGGTATGAGTTGACCCTAATTTGTTTAAACTCAAAACGATGGGTCCCATGCGATGAACACTATGCTGCTGGTGAGCAGTGGAAGATACTTTAAAAGGGAATTGCTCAATCCCACGGATTGCACCACGTGCTCATGGGTAATTAACTCCGCCTCTGTCCACTAAGACTGCTTATTATGCTCGCTTACAGGCATTTTGCATACAGTACAGTTCTCGCGGAAGCTTTGGCTTCACTTCAGCGTCAA